CATTACTACCATAAAAGTTTTGTCCACGAGGAGAGGTGAGTCTTGAAGAGGTAGAAATGGGAGAAGAAGCCAAATGGAGCCACTGCACTCCTAGAGTCAAGGGAAGGCACAGAGTACAGGGAAGGAGGCCAAGGGGAAGAGGAACATCAACACACTTGTCCTGCTTTGTAAGTAAAGTAAGCCAGACAAAGACAAATACTGTATAGTATCACTTACACCTAAAAAAAAAAAAAAAAAAATAAGTCAAACTCACAGAAACAAGAGAATAGAAAGGTGGTCACCAGGGGCTGGGAGTGGGAGAACTGGTCAAAGAGTACAAAGTTTCAGTTATAAGGTAAATACATTCTGAGGATCTACTGTACAGCATGGTGACTAGAATTAAAAATGCCATATCATATACTTGAAATGTGCTAAGAGAGTAGCTCTTAAGCATTTGACCAAAAAGAAAAAAGAAAGGTAACTATGTGAAGTGATGGATGTGTTAATTAGCCTGATTGTGATAATCATTTCACAATATACACATACATCAACTCGTTACATTGTATACTGTAAAAATATGCAATTTTGTCAATTATACCTTAATAACACTGACAACACATAAACAAACAAAAAACTTTCCCTGCTTTAACAGGTGGCTAAACTAGCCCTGGTCACATTTAGTTACAGCAGCCTATCAGGGAAGGCTAAAGATCCCAATAGCATGAAGCAGATTATTATTATTATTATTATTATTATTATTATTATTATTATTTGAGATGGAGTCTTGCTCTGTCACCCAGACTGGAGTGCAATGGCACAATCTCGGCTCACTGCAACCTCTGCCTCCCAGGTTCAAGTGATTCTCCTGCCTCGGTCTCCCCAGTAGCTGGGATTATAGGCATCTGCCACCATGCCTGGATAATTTTTGTATTTTTAGTAAAGATGGGGTTTCACCATGTTGGATCTCTGACCAACAGGTGATCCACCTGCCTTGGCCTCCCAAACTGCTGGGATTACAGTGGTGAGCCACTGCACCTGACCAAGGGAGATTATTTTTAATGGTGAGTCAAAGATCCTGTAGAAATGTATGAGAATATGTCCAGTGTTTTGTTATGTGGAAATAGTTCTTAACAAAGAAGTATGCACAATATAAATACGTACACATAAAATATTCCAAAACATAAAGACAGTTCTGAGTGAAAGGATTCTATTTTTTTCTACATTATTTTTACAAGGAGCACATATTATGTATGCATCTTCCTTAAGTCTGAAACATACGATAAACAAGTAAAACTATATCAAACTAAGAAGCTTCTGTACAACAACAACAAAAAACAATTAACAAAATGAAAAGGCACCCCACAGATTGGGAGAAAATGTTTGCAAACCATATAAACCATGAGGGGTTAATATTAAAAATATATAAGGAATTCATACAACTCAACAGCAAAAACAAAAACAAAACCCAATTTTTAAAAATGGGCAAAGAACCTGAATAGACACGTCTCTAAAGAAAACATAAAAATGGTCAACTGGTATATGAAAAGGTGCTCACTGACACTAGTCGTCAGAGAAACACAAATCAAAACCTTACATGATATCACTTCACATCTGTTAGTACAATCATTATAAAAAAGACAAGGCGTGACCAGTGTTGGAAAGGGTGTGGAGAAAAGGACCCTTCCACACTGCTGGTGGTAATGTAAATTAGTAAAACCATTATGAAAAACAGTGTAGAGGTTCCTCAAAATATTTTTTTTTTTTTTTTTTTTTTTTTTGAGACGGAGTCTCGCTCTGTCGCCCAGGCTGGAGTGCAGTGGCCGGATCCCAGCTCACTGCAAGCTCCGCCTCCCGGGTTTACGCCATTCTCCTGCCTCAGCCTCCCGAGTAGCTGGGACTACAGGTGCCCGCCACCTCGCCTGGCTAATTTTTTGTATTTTTAGTAGAGACGGGGTTTCACCATGTTAGCCAGGATGGTCTCGATCTCCTGACCTTGTGATCCGCCCGTCTCGGCCTCCCAAAGTGCTGGGATTACAGGCTTGAGCCACCGCGCCCGGCCGGTTCCTCAAAATATTAAAAACAGAACTCGCATATAAGCCAGCAATCCCTCTGCTGGTATATACCCAAAGACAATGAAATCAGCATCTTATAGAGTTACCTGTGCACCCATGTTCGTTAATGATGAAGAGTCTCGCTTTACAAAAATATTCTGCTAATAACTGGAGGAGAAACGATAGAATTCTACAAGGCTACTTTCAAACCCCTAATGTATTGATCTCTCTAGTTAATAAGTGTACATTGTTTAGAACCAAATACGCAAATTTTATGTTCCTTCTGATAGAGGCGTGTAGTGGAACCTATGACGAATTCTTACCGAAAACTGAAACCAAACAAAGTAGAGTCTGTAGTGGGCGTAGGACTATGCTAACAGACACCGCAAGGATACTACAAGTAAACGAAGACCACGGAAGACTCTATAGGACAACTGACTCGGCCTTTACTAGATAACAGCAAAGACATTCAAGAGAACGTACAGACAAAAAGATACAATGGACGGATCAAACAGTTTGAACACATGGCCCTTATTTGGATATCTGACTCAAACAAGCAAACAAAAATGAAAATGTGCAAGGAGGGAGGAAAGGAGGGAGGGGGGATGGAGGGAGGAAGGAAAGAGAAAGGAAAGGAAAGGAAGGAAAAAAGAAAGGAAGGAAGGGAAGGAAGAAATGAAGAAAAAGAAGAAAAAAGAAAAAGAAAAAAGAAAGAGAAAGAAAAGAGGGAGGAAGGAAGGAAGGGAGGGAGGGAGGGAGGGACGAACGAACAAGCAGCACAGTCCACCTGCAGAGGAGAGGAGAGACTGCCCAGGCAAGGTGGTGGATCGGTCCTTCTCCCTCACACAGCCCGACTTTGCCCCCAGCACATCCCTGCTGTGCCTCTGCTGCCCCCATGTGGGCGAGGGAAGAGCTGACACTGAGGCTGTAGAGGACGAAACCTGAACGCGAACTCCAAGGAAGTCTTTGACAGATTGCTCTTCCCTTTTCACGAATTCCTCGCCAGGATTTGTCCCACCCACTTAGGAACATGGGACTGCTGCAGGAGCAAGTGCCAGGATGGGTGCCGGGATATCTGCTCAGAATGCTAAAAACTTGGATACAGATGCTGGCTGGGCAGGATCCAGAGAACCAGAGCCGCCTCAGGCAATCCCCCCAGGGGAGAGGAAGTGGAGATAAAAAGAGAGGAAGCCCCAGGAGACGAACGGCCAAAGGCAAGCAGTGAAACCAGCTCCCTTGCCTCCTGAGATCAAGGTAATGCCAAGCTAAGTTGGTGGCGCTTCCTCCCTTCGGGCAGTCTGTCTTACAGAGCACTTGCGGTGAACTGTCCCTGACTGCTCTCTGAGCACACGTTCCCAGAAATGCAGAGAAAATTTCAGGGGGATCCCACTGATGGTAGTTTTAGCTTATGTCTATATTAGCCAGCTTTTTGAGCAACAAACCATAAAGAATCAGGAAATGGGAATTAAATTCATTTGTTATTATCAAATAACATGCAAAGAGATTTAAACTGATCCCTTAATATTTGCACAACTGTTACTGGGCATTAATGCTGACCCTTAATCTGATTAAATTTTTGTTTACCCAGTAAGTTCATTTTTCTCTGCTTAATTTGTTGGATCTCTAACACTCAGGGTGACAGGAGTCTCTGACTAAGAAATAATTGTCACAGCACAGGTACGTATCACGTGTGCACATGAACACATACATTCTGGATGAAACTCCCCAAAAGCCAGTTTCTTAACCCTGCACTTTCACCCCTTCCTCTTGCGTATGACCCAGACATAAACCTCCATATACTCCTCCTATACTGAGACTCCAGAGCCAGACCACCTGGGTTCAAATGCAGCTTTAGCATTTACTGTGTGACCTTGGACAAATCACCTAAACTTTCTGAGTTTTAGTTACCTCCTCTATATAGTGAGGATGATAATAATGGCACCTCATAGGGCTAAATGAGTTCATAGCTGTAAAGTGCTTAAAACAGCACTTGGCACAGTAAGTGCCAGAGGAATTTATCAACTTGGTACCATTATAATTTTTGTAAAATGGGTTTGAAATGCAATTAATTAACAAACTAGTTAATTTTTAAAAACAAATTTAAAAAACAATTTTCAGCTGGGCACAGTGGCTCTGACATGTAATTCCAGCATTTTGGGAGGCCAAGGGGGGCGGATCATGAGGTCAGGAGATTGAGACCATCCTGGCCAACATGGTGAAACCCCATCTCTACTAAAAAAAATACAAAAATTAGCCGGTCGTGGTAGCACATGCCTGTAGTCCCAGCTGCTTGGGAGGCTGAGGCAGGAGAATCACTTGAACCCGGGAGGCAGAGCTTGCAGTGAGCCGAGATCATGCCACTGCACTCTAGCCTGGGTGACAGAGCGAGACTCCATCTCAAAACAAAGAAAAAAAAAACACCAATGATTTTCTCTTTTTTTAAACTAGTAAGTATCATTTGCTACTAAAATTGGATTATAACGAAGTGGCCAGTGCCTCCTTGTTCACCTCTAAATTTTGATGTCATTTTCAGGAGAATCAGGCTTGTTGATCTTATTCTCCTCTAAGCCTCTTTTTTAACCCCCTAGTAATAGTCCTTGTCATGATCACCTTCTTCTTCAATGCTATATCATTTAGGAAAAGTAAAGAATATGCATGTATGTGTACATGTGTGTGCATGTGTGTGCATATGAGAGTATGTCCATGTGTATTGAGGATGTGAATATGACAGCATGTGTGCATATGTGTTTGTGTGTGAGAGAGTAGCACGTGTGCATGCGTGTGTGCATATGTGTGTGTGTGTAGCAGGAGCGGGTGGGTAGAGTTTGGCCATGCTGAGCATCTCAGCACATCTGCACTTTCACTGTGACCTCCTTTACTTTTCTTCCATCCCTGGTTCTGGATTCTATCCTCTTTCTTCCCCACCTTCCATTTGGCAGCACGATCAGCTCTCAGCCCAGTGACACTTACCTGTTAGTGTTCTCTAAAACCTCTACCTTCTTCCGAAGCTCCAAGTTCTCAGTTGAACAAGACTCCACTCTACAAAAGAGGGAGAAAGAAGAAAATTATTATCCATAGAGCAAACACTAAGCCAGGAGCTAGGGTAGGTGGGGATGAGGAAAATGAGGGTTGGGGGGATCTGCTACTCCATGGAAGTGTGGGAAAGTATGGAAAGAAGGACGAAGAGACTTAAGAAAAAAAAAAATAGGCCGGGTGTGGTGGCTCACGCCTATAATCCCAGCACTTTGGGAGGCTGAGGCAGGCGGATCATGAGGTCAGGAGATCAAGACCATCCTGGCCAACACGGTGAAACCCCGTCTCTACTAAAAATACAAAAATTAGCTGGGTGTGGTGGCGTGCCCAGCTACTCGGGAGGCTAAGGCAGGAGAATCGCTTGAACCTGGGAGTCGGAGGTTGCAGTGAGGCAAGATAGCCACTGCACTCCAGCCTGGTGACAAAGAGAGACAAGAAAGAAAGGAAAGAAAGAGGAAGGAAGGGAGGGAGGGAGGGAGGGAAAGGAAGGGGAGAGACAGAGAGAGAGAGAGAGAGAGAAAGAAAAGAAAGAAGAAAAGGAGCTGGGGCCAGGCATAGTGGCTCATGCCTGTAATCTCAGCACTTTGGGAAGCTGAGGCAGGCGGATCACTTGAGGTCAGGAGCTCAAGACCAGCCTGGCCAACATGGTGAAACCCCATCTCACTAAAAATGCAAAAATTAGCTGGGCATGGTGGTATGTGCCTGTAATCCCAGCTACTTGGAAGACTGAGGCAGAAGAATCACTTGAACCTGGGAGGCAGATTGCAGTGAGCCAAGATCATGCCACTGTACTCCAACCTGGGCCACAGAGTGAGACTCCGTCTCAAAAAAAAAAAAAAAAAGAGGGAGCTGAGTGACAAGTGCCTGAATAATGCAAGATGAATAGGGACGGTATAAAATATGACCCTCTTTTAGGGTGTTACAACCCTCTTTCCTCTCACCTCCTCCCTAGTGTTCTCAATGCCCATCATACTTCTCCCTCTATACTACAATGATCTGGACACTCCCGGCTACACTCTTACCAGGACTGATAAGAAGTGAAGAGACTTAAGCAAAGGGCAGGACAAGAGGGAGGACAAGAGCCCAGGACAAGGAATCCCGGTGCTGGGGCACACATGCCCAAAAGAGACAGTAAAGAGATTTTCATAGAAACATCTTAACCCTGGATGCCCATAGAAAACGGGGGACAGCATGGAACTACAGTCATCCCATTGTATTCGGGGGGGATTAGTTCCAGAACTCCCCATAGATATCAAAATCTCCAATGCTCAAGTCCTTGATATACAATGGTGTAGTATTTGTATATAACCTTTACATATCCTCCAGTATATGTTAATCATCTCTAGGTTATTTATAATACCAAACACAATATAAATACTATGTAAATATGTGTTATCTTGCATTTATAGTTGTATTAATTTTTGTTGAAGTGTTTTTTTTTTATTATTATTGAGTTGTTTGGTTTGGGTTTTTTGAGACAGAGTCTCACTCTATCATCAAGGCTACAGTGCAGTGGCACAATCACAGCTCACTGCAGCCTCAACTTCCTGGGCTCAAGTGATTCTCCCCTCTCAGCCTCCTGAGTAGCTGGGACCACAGATGTGCACCACCATGCCTGGCTAATTTTTTTTTTATTTTTTAGGGGGTCTGGCTACATTGCCCAGGCTGGTCTTGAACTCCTGAACTCAAGCAATCCTCTCACCTTGGCTTCCCAAAGCACTGGGATTACAAGAATGAGTCATCACACCCAGCCTATTGAGGTTTTTTTCTGAATATTTTAGACCCATGGTTGGTTGAATCTGAGGACGCGGAACCCCCAGATATGGAGCGCTGACTATGCTTAATGCTACATTACCAGTACTTAAGTCAGGTGATAGAAGCACTAGACTTTAAATAGTAACTTCGAGAAACAGCCAGGAACCACCAGCCACTCCCTTCCCCAGATCCACATGAAGTTCATTCCTGGGTCTGGGGCCTCATGCCCATCTTAAAAAGGTCTTAAGTTTGTTAGCTGAAGAACTAACTTCTAGGGCTAAGACAAAACTGTATTTAATTCCTCTTTTTCTAACAGCCCGCCTGATGTTATAGACTTTTTAAAAGAACAAAGATTGCCTTCAAGTGTTTTTGCAAAAAAACATGAATTGTAGTGGCTGGAAAATAAAGGCCGCCAACCTGACATCTTTCTTTCCCTGCGTGCCCTCTCTAGAGCGTGAGGGAATTTGGCCAATGCGGGCTGATTAAGTAGCACTGCTCCTTTTGGCTAAAACAGGGTTTCTCCTGCTAGGAGTTTCAGGAATGTGCAGGAATGTTAATATTTGTACGTGTTAGAAAGGAAGTCTCTGAGGACTCCGGGGTCCTGGCTGGCAGTGGTGTGATTCAAACACCTACTAAGGTGCTTTCACTTCTTTCTTGCTTTATTATAGACATCTCCACCAAATAACCACTAGGTGGCAGGCAAAATATAGCTGATAAACCACCGGGTTTCCAAGGTGGCCAGAAAGAGGAATTGAACTGCTTCTCCCCGATTCTCCACACACCCACATTTCTCAGTGCATATTGCCCGTACTGCCCGATGAACACAACAGTTTGCCAGCAGGCTTACTTTTTCTCCAGGCTGTCCATGTATTCTTTCTTCTTTCTCCTACTTTCTTGGGCAGAAATCTGAGAGAGAGGGGTGGGAGGAGAATGATTAACTTCCAGCTCTGTGAGTAAACCAGTTAAGACAGGAGGTGGTTAGTGTAGAAGTCACTAAAGCCCCGCTCACTTCTGCAAGCTGCTTGCCATTTGTTTAAGCTGCTGGTTCATCAACTAGTCACCTATTCTGTCCTCCTGGGTTTCCAGCTGCCAAACTCACACCTACTTTCCTACAAAGTAGGCCCCCAGTAAAATGGACACTGAGTGGCCAGGCACGGTGGTTCACGCCTGTAATCCCAACAGTTTGGGAGGCTGAGGTGGGTGCATCACTTGAGGTCAGGAGTTCGAGACCAGCCTGGCCAATATGGTGAAACGCCGTCTCCATTAAAAATACAAAAAAATGGCTGGGCGCAATGGCTCACGCCTGTAATCCCAGCACTTTGGGAGGCCAAGGCGGGTAGATCACCTGAGGTCAGGAGTTTAAGACCAGTCTGGGCAACATGGTAAAACTCATCTCTACTAAAAATACAAAATTTAGCTGGGCGCGGTGGTGCATGCTTGTAATCCCAGCTACTTGGGAGGCTGAGGCAAGAGAATCCCTTGAGCCCGGGAGGCAGAGGTTGCACAGAGCCGAGATTGTGCCATTGCACTCCAGCCTAGGTGACAGAGTGAGACTCCGTCTCAAAACAAAAAACAAAAACAAAAAAATTAGCCAGGCATGGCGGCGCACATCTGTGGTTCCAGCTGCTTGGGAAACTGAGGTAGAAGAATCACTTGAACCTGCGAGGCAGAGGTTGCAGTGAGCTGAGATCACATCACTACACTCCAGCCTGGGTGACAGAGTGAGACTCTGTATCAAAAAAAAAAAAAAAAAAAGAAAGAAAGAAAAGAAAAGAAGAGAAAAAAATGGACACTGAGTAAGGAGCCAGGCCAGAACATGTAGCTCACAAACCATCAGTGTGGTCTCAGATAAGTGAGTTTAACTCCCGGACCTCTGCTGGCTGAACTACATCTATAAAATAAGACAGCTGGGGCTTGGTTATACATCAACTTGCTGCTGGTTCTGCGCATGGATAGAGTGACACTAAGCTCTTGTCTTCCTTCCCTCTTTGCCCCCACCCTCCCGGTAGGCCTGTGCCTCAGCCATCCCCCTGGTTTTCATCAGCCCTGCTCAGCACTGAGTGGCCCAGGCGTAGGACACTACTGAGTCCAAATACAGACCAGCAAACTGCAGAAGTTTTGTAATCACTAAACCCTACAAGAAAAAAAAAATTAACCAAGCACTCTCAATGTATCTGTATTATATATATATAATATACATATATGCTGTATTTTTATATATATAATACATATATAATATATAATACATATATAATATGTAATACATATAATACATATATAATATATAATACATGTATATATACGATACATATATAATACATATATAATATGTAATACATATATAATATATAACATATAATACATATATAATATACAATACATATATAATATATAATATATAACATATATAATACATATATATATATAATATATAACATATAAAATACATATATAATATATATAATACATATATATGTCTACTAGAGGAAACTATTGTATATATCATAAGCCCAAAATTTAAAAGGCTGAGATTTTAAAGAAAAACTACATGGAAATTCTAATAGCTTCCTCCCACCCCTGAATGTATCATCGTGGGCACCAAGGAGGTAGACACTGATTTGGGAGTCTGCTGGCCTCAAGAGGGATGGCATGGGCTGGAGGAAGAGGGGCACGTGGTGAGGATGCTCCTCCCAGGGCCTAGGGAAGGGAGGGGCTTGGCCTTGGAGTCTCTGCCATGGGATGGGGTAGTGCTGGTCATTGGGAAGGCAGGGAAGGGGATGCTGACTCGATTCTGCTCGTGTCTCTGCTCTAGAAGTGCCTAGATTTGAAAGGCTCACCTTATTCTTGATCTTCCGCCGAATTTTCTTCAGGGCCTTCTCCTCTGATTTTGACAGGGGCAATTTGGTGGGGATGGGATAGCCCTCAGCGATCAGGGTCCTCTTTTCCTCCTCTGTCAGGACCAGAGGGCCTGATCCCTGCAGTTTCTGTGCAGACCAAGGAGCAGAAAAGGGTCAAAGAAAAAGAACTGGGACCACTGAAGAATAGCCTCCCGATGGGGTGACGAGAATCTGTTACAATGTCTTACAGAAGGCTCTGGGACAAGGATGCCCCACCTGCTTTGGATGATAGATGGGTATTTTGAAGGGCATGGGAAGATGGGGAAGACACTCTCATGTGAGTGTTATAACCTAGGGGTTATAATTCAAGGAAAAGAATAAAGAAACCTCCACCCATTATTTCCCAGGAAGCACCCCGCTCGCTAAAACATGAAAAGAAAAAGTAGAGAAGTCATTTCCCACATCCCTAGAGATTTCCTGGCCTTGGAGTGATGAAGGATTCATTTGCAGCCCTGCTTTGTACAACAGTTTTGTTGTTCTCCTTCTGAAAATGCAATTTTATAAGGTGCTCTCTACACACCAGGAGTCACTTCTCCACTTTTAGCTAAGGGTGCAGAGCACCCAGGGACACACCTGCAGACTCTTTCCATAGAAGCCTCTGGCTTTAGCAGTCTCAGACTGTCCATCAGCAATGAAGACAAGAACAGTAGCCCATCTCATGGACCCCACAGTAGAATGGCGTGTTTATAATTAATCAGAGTCCCTATTGCATTTTAGCTCCATACTAAATGCCATGGAGGACTATCTCTCAAGTAGCTTGTGATCAAGACTGTGAGACTGAATTGATACCCATGAAAGGATAAGAGTAATTAAATGCTAAACTGTACTCTTAGCGGATATGGTTTGGCTCTGTGTCCCCACCCAAATCTCATTAAATTGCTCCCATAATTCCCACGTGTTGTGGGAGGGACCCAGTGGGAGATGACTGAATTATGGGGTGAGTCTTTCCCGTGCTGTTCTTGTGAGAGTGAATGACTCTCACAAGATCTGATGGTTTTAAAAAACCGGAATTGCACTGTATAAGCTCTCTCTTTCCCTGCTGCCATCCATGTAAGACCTGACTTGCTCCTCTTTGCCTTCCACCATGATTGTGAGGCTTCTCTAGCCACATGGAACCGTAAGTCCAATTAAACCTCTTTCTTTTGTAAATTGCCCAGTCTCGGGTATGTCTTTATCAGCAGCATGAAAATGAAATAATACATTAGCTAAAGGTGCACTAAAAATTTGAAGTAAGAGAACAGTGCTATGAGCTGTGTAATCAGGAAAGGTTTAGGGCAGGAGATGAGATTTGAATTGGGCCTCCTGAAAGAAAGGGGATGATTTACATAAGAGAGAGGAGTGCATTCTAAGCAAAAGGCAGTATTTTGAAAAGTCACTGAAGAAGCCACTCTGCCTAGTGTGGGTAAGGAGTTCTTGAAGCAGCGGAGGGTTGGACACCTGATAATGAGTAAAGGTGTCACGGCTTGGTGCCAATAGATGATAGGGAAACACAACATAGTTGTTGGGCAAGCATCTGACATGGGGAAGAGTTCCTCCATCAACATGTAGAATGGACAGATCACAGTAGTACACACAGGTATATAGGATACAAGCTATTCTACTAATCCAAGGAGTGAAGTCAGGTTCCAGTTGAAAAGGTGAAGAAAGAGTGGAAAGGTGAATTCCCTTGTCCTCAGTAACAGTGAAATATAAGAATGTGGTTACAGATCAAGAACTTTCAGGGATGGAATCAATACAAACTTTCAAAGTTATGTTAATTAATGGATGGATGGTTCTTACAGAATTTTTAAACATCTCATTTCATTTAAATTTTCTAGTTGTGATACTGTAAATTCAAAATAGCTGATTATAATTTTTACAATTTCATAGAAATCAATTCACTCCTAGAACAATAAGAAGTTAATGATCTATTCTTCATTATGGTGTCCTCATGTATGTGAGGGATGAACGATGGGTCTTGATGTCTGATCTGAGTTTCTGGGTTAAGAGTCATATGACACACAGAAAAGGCTTAAACTGTTTTTGACCTTTAGGCATCAAAGACATTAATCTCATAGTAATTTTTAAGTTCACCAAAAATTGCTTATTTAAAATATAAAAGGTATTTCCTATGACATAGGTCACGAGGATCATTAACACAAATATTTATGATAGAACTTTGAGGAGAAAAACCCCAAATCTTTATTCCTCATGCCTATAGCTCTGTAAAATAAACATACGAATAAAAACCGGAAGTGTGCATGTGAAAACGAAGAGAATTGTGGTAGTAAAAGGTGAGGTGTGCGGGCAGTTCTTGGAAAGTGTTCTTTAGGGTTGACATCACTCCGCTTTGGCCGTTAAACAGAAACTTCTTGACAAAAGTGAAAAACAAACAGCCTTGAGTGGTCCTGCTCTAGATACAGCCCCATGGGAATGAATGGAGAAGGTTCCTTTTGGTCCAGGAACGCCCGCTGCATACTTACATGAGGAGCCGTGAGAAGAGGGGAGCTGGAGAGGGCGGAGGGGGCCCGGGGTGCAGCTCTGGAGGGGCTGTGGGTCTGAGGCAGACTGAAGGGGTGCAGGCGTGGGTTGGGACTCAGGCTGCCCTCTGAGTCACTGCCGTGACTGCTCGGGGGGGTGGGCGGTAAATGCAGGTGGTCCACTGGGGCTGCAAAAAAGGAAGCACATCTCATCCATCCCAGAGCCACAAATCAGGATACAACTGATCTGTGGGACAGTGAACTAAAGCACAAGGGGCCTCCATGAGCTGACACGGACAGATCTCCAAAGTGCAGAGGCTGGATACAGGAGTCCTCCTTTTGCATGAAAACAGAGACAAAGAGGATATGGACCCCATATTTGCTTGTATTGGCAAAAAGAACACTGGAAGTGTATACAAGAAACCAATAAACGTGCAACCAGGGGCCAGGCGAAGTGGCTCATGGCTATAATCCCAGCACTTTGTGAGGCTCGGGTGGGCAGATCAAATGAGGTCAGGAGTTTGTGACCAGCCTGACCAACATGGTGAAACTCCATCTCTACTAAAAGTACAAAAATTAGTTGAGTGTGGTGGCACAAGCCTGTAGTCCCAGCTACTTGGGAGGCTGAGGCAGGAGAATTGCTTGAACCCAGGCAAGATCACGCCACTGCACTCCAGCCTGGGTGACAGAGCGAGACTCCATCTCAAAAAGTCAGTGGCTGCTTTGAAAAAAGCCAGTTTGTTTCTGGAGCAATGTGCGTGGTCATGCCCGCAGGCAAGACTCCAGGCATTCTTCATTCAGAAAACATGAAACCCATCTTCAGATGGGGGAGTGGGCACAGGAAAAGTAAGTGAGAGTTCAGTGGGGAGACTTTCTCCTGTAAAGTCTCCGCCCTTCCTCAGGGAGGCACAACACCCTCTCTGCCAGGGCCTATGGAGCCTTGGCCAGTGTCCATCAGGCATCTCCAGGGCAGCAGAGATGGGCTTCTGAAGGAGGAATCCAACCAGGATTCCTTGAAATGAAAGCACTCTTGGTTCTCACTGTTCTTTCTGAACAGTGCATACTTCTGTTGTACCAGCCACTGCTACTGAGCCAAGGGAGATAACTGCAGGTAAACACTTCATTCCTGGAGCCTCCAGGACAATGAGTCCTCTGTACGGCAGCCCCACGGTGGGCATGGCCCACACAGCTGGGTCTGCTCGGCCAGGGAACTAACTGCTGAAGGCCATGAGAAGCCTCAGCGCATCACCTCCTCATCCCTTCTTCCAATGGAGACTACCCAACGTACTATGGACGGGAAGGGCCCTCCTGAGACACAACAACTGACCCAAGAAAGATGACCTCATTCATAGCTGCCTGATACAGTATGGCTGTGTCCCCACCCAAATCTCATCTTGAATTGTAGCTCCCACAACTCCACTGTGGGGTGGGAGGGACCCAGTGGGAGATCACTGAATCATGGCGGCAGTTTCCCCCATGCTGTTCTTGTGGTAGTGAATAAGCCTCATGAGAGCTGATGGTTTTATAAGGGGAAACCCCTTTTACTTGGTTCTCATTTTCTCTCTCGCCTGCCGCCTTGTAAAATGTGCCTTTCGCTTTCCGCCATGATTGTGAGGCCTCCCTATCCATGTGGAACTGTGAGTCCATTACACCTCTTTTTCTTTATAAATTGCCCAGTCTCGGGTACTTTATCAGCAGCATGAAAACGGACTAATACACTGCCCTCAGAGAGGATGAGCAGCAATCAGCAGCTCTCTCCTATAGGAATACCTGAATAGCCAAGGCCACAGCAGGCGATGCCTGGTCCCCCGGCCCCGGCATGCTATTTTTTCTTCTCTCTCTCTCATTGCCATTCCCTGTCTCTCTCCCACTCTTTCTTTCTCTTTCTGCCACATATAGCTTTTCTCTAGATGTTTCCTCTTTCCCTTTTTCTCTGCCAGTCTTGCCAAAGAGGTCCCTGGGGTTTTTAGTCTCTGTGGGCACTCTTACAGCTAAAGAATATGCTAAAATAATCCTTGTCACACTATTCCCACTACTCCTGCCACGGGTGCAGGCAGCCCAGGAAGGGAACCACATGCCTTAAATATGCAGGTGCTTGGCTAAGAAGGAGGAGTCCTAAGCGTGTTAATCAAGGTTTCTTGAATGCCATGAATATTATGGCACTTCATAGTTTAAAAACAAAACAAAACAGGAAGCAGACGAACCTAATAGGGGCTCTGTGCTGTTACATTCCCAAGAATGTACCTAAAGTACCTAAAGCCACCCTGTCCCTTTCACTTGGTAGGGGCCAAATTATTCTAATACTGTTCTCCCGTCTAAGCAGAGGGCCCTTCACAAAAGACAGAAAGAGAATGATGAGAAAAGCAAGTGAAGCAACTTAAATCTTGTCTTTCCTACCTATGAAAGAGCTACAGGGCTGGCCAGAGGCACCTCAGGATCAGATTTCTAAATATCATTTGAAATGCCGCTTTTGGGTTACTGCAAGGTCTGGGGACAACAAGCTACTTTGCCTAGAAATTGCTGCAGTCAAGGATATAGAATTTCCTTATCTCTGTTTATCCAGGATAATAAGGAAGGGCTGTCCTTTACTTTATTCTTGAAACATTTCTCCTCCAATAACCCTGGATTCAGAAGCCACTATGGGATTCATTGTTATGGTGATGACACTTCTGAACCACATCGAAGCATAAAATTAAAAGAGTAAGATGCATTTGATAGTAATCACTAGTGTTATACAAATGAAAGCAATTACTTTGAAGCAGTATATGAAGCTGCAAGGCACTACTGTCTGTCACTCAGTGCAAAGAAATAGTGTCTCGATATGGATTCTACTCAGTATTGTTAACTTTTAAAATTTAATCATGTCTTTATTGATAATAAAGGCAAATAAAGGGCCAGCCCTGACTACATTGTTACAAACCAAATCCTGAGTTAGTTTCTAATGGAAAGAAGATAGCTGATATTTTCATGAGAAGTGCTCATATGTAAATATCCTCACGTTTATATACTGTAGCACATATACCTTTTTGGTGACAACTGTATAAGCCAATTTCTTATTTGTTGACCAAAGTAATGAACTGTACTTCAAAATTTGTACTGAAAGTATGAATGGGACCGGATGAGGTGCCACATGCCTATAATCCTGTCACTTTGGTGGGCCAAGGTGGGAGGGTCACTTGAGCTCAGGAGTTTCAGACCAGCCTGGGTAACACGGTGAAACTCTGTCTCTAAAGAAAATAAAAATTCAGCTTGGCATGGTGGTGCATGCCTATAGTCCCAGCTACTTGGGAGGCCGAGGTGGGAGAATCGCTTGAGCCCATGAGGTTGAGGTTGCCGCGAGCCAGGACTGCACTACTGCACTCCAGCCTGGACAACAGAATGAGACCCTGTTTCACAGAAAAAATAAATAAATAAAAAGTAGGAATGAAAAGGGAAGTGAGGGCATGACCGAAGGCACAGAAGTGAGAAGAGCAGGACCTATACAGGAGAATCTGTATAAACAAGGTGGCAGAGAGAGTTTCATTAGACTTTATGAGGCTCAGGGGTCTGCATCCATTCCTAGCTATGGGCTTCACAGGAGAACAAAGAGAGAGAAACTCAGAAAGAAACTGACATAGAGAAAGAGAAATATAGACATATAACAACCTTGGCCAGACGTGGTGGCTTATGCCTGTAATACCAGGACTTTGGGAGGCCGAGGCAAGCAGATTGCCTAAGGCTGGGAGTTCAAGACTAGCCTGACCAACGTGGCAAAACCTCGTCTCTACTAAAAATACCAAAATTAGCTGGGTGTGGTGGCGCACACCTGTAATCCCAGCTTCTCAGGAGGCTGAGGCACAGGAATCGCTTGAACCTGGGAGGCAGAGGTTGCAGTGAGCCGAAATGGTGCCATTGCACTCCAGCCTGGGTAACAGAGTGAGACTCTGTCTCAAAAAAAAGAAAAAAGTATGACCACCTCTCAAGGACGTGTTAATTCTAGATGGATGGATGTCAAGAAGCCCAAAAAGATGCACAACTGTAAACTATGAACATGACCAAATAGAGAGGGGGCTCCTTGCAATGGCTGTCATCCAAAGTCAATGTTTACAAACAATGAATTGGCCGCATAATTAATTGTGAATTTACTTCACAAAGAGTTGAAACTAGAGTTGTTTAAAATAAGCAAGGTGCCTTTGTAGATGGTTGTTGATTTTTGGGGTTCTACAGGGTTCACACCTGGATGAGTAAGAGCTGCAGTTCTCTTGTTTGATAGTGTTTGTAGTAGTAGCAGTCCATAAAGGTTTTGAAAAATATCACCCTGGCTAGAAGTAAAATATGGTAACACTTAGCCGAAACTTAATTAAGTGCATATATGGGAAAATAATATTTAGCTTGCAAAATTTTTATTTGGAAACAAAATTTTTATTTTTTAAGAACAGAGCTATTTCATAAAGTCAGCTACATCTGTGGTACAAACTCATCCCAGCTCTCTCACCATATTCCCTCTCTGTAGACTCAGAGACCATCTCCACACCCAAAGGGACACAGGGAGGGCAGACAGACCTTCTTTAGGAGAGAAGTTTAGAAACTGATCCACTTCATGAGGCTCCAGCTTAATTTTAGGAATAATGGTCTGGCACGAGGAATCAACCTGGAGGAAGAATTTCAAACACAAGTTTTAAAAACCAATCACAGCCTTGAAGACACACGCAGCAGAGCTATTTGTCACCTGTGTCTTCCTCTCGGGACAGCCCTGCCTATCCTGGAGAATAGCTGAGTGTACGCAGCTTCCCTGACAGGGAGTCATTTTAGTTCTTAACCTTTTTCTCATCGCCAAACTGGGCATTACAGCTGACAGGACCCTCCGAACTTACTTGAGACCACCCTGGGTAACATAGTGAGACACCATCTCCCCCAAAAATATAAAAATTAGCCAGTCGTGATGGCGTGCACCTGTAGTTCCAGCTACTTGGGAGGCTGAGGCAGGAGAATCACTTGAGCCCGGGAATTTGAGGCTGCAGTGAGCTGTGATCATACCATTGCACTCTAGCCTAGGTAACAGAATGAGATCCTATCTCAAAAAAAAAAAAAAGAAAAACAAAGAACGCTCAGAACTCTAAAGCTGAAAGTTAAATGCTCAAGCCCAAGACTATATCAATATTCTTTTCTAAGTTTTTGTAGTACTGTAAAGGCATTTTATTACAAAATATTCTGGTACTTTTTTTGTGTGGCATCATTCTGCTAACTTTATTCTTTATACACAGTTTGGGTTAAGGAAGAACCAAACATTGCTTCCACTCCCTCTATCCTCACTCCACTTTGGGGCTTTAAAAAGTGACTAATAGTTGATACGGGTCAGGATTCCCAAGACTGCAGAATTTAGCTGTAGAGCATAACTGTGCATTTGATCTCTGAAAGAAAATAAGAGACCTTCTAAGAGGTGGTGACCTTAGCAGAATGAGGAGGGGCCAGGGGGTCTGTTATCCCAGTTCAGCCTCACACCAGCCTGGGAGTTTTCCCTGCCTGCAATGTAAAGCAGCCTGTAAATTACATATAGCCACAATGCACTTAAATCGAGTCAATCACCATGGAAAACGGGAACTAAATTTTAAAAAGTCACAGGCGTCCACCAGCTTGCCCTGGGGTAGGGACTGTGCACCAAACTACATCCTTTCTCTTATATAACTTTATTAATATTGATTATTAATAATGTTTATAATATATAATTAATATTAGTAATTAATATTATTAAGGCTTCTTAATGACTGATTATATCTAATCATGAAATGCCTGGTAGGGAAAGGAGAAAAGTTACCTGGCCCATACACGGGAGCAAGGCCATGCCTCCGAGCTTTGCTAGTTACATGCTTTACAATAATTCAACTAGCCCAGGCGTGTGGCTCACGCCTGTAATCCCAACACTTTGGGAGGCCGAAGTGGGCAGATCACTTGAGGTCAGGAGTTCGAGACCAACCTGGCCAACATGGTAAAACCCCATCTCTACTAAAAATACAAAAATTAGCCAGAGGTGGTGGCAGGTGCCTGTAATTCCAGCTACTTGGGAGGCTGAGGCACAAGAATCGCTGAACCCGGGAGGCGAAGGTTGCAGTGAGCTGAGATCGTGCCACTGCACTCCAGCTTGGGCGACAGAGTGAGACTTCTGTCTCAAAAAAAAAAAAAAGTAATAAATAAAATAACTAAAATCCTGTGGAGCAAGGAGACTAATAGAGACCCAGACAGCCTAGTCTAATAAAGAGACTCAGGTAGTTACTGAGAAAGGAATCCTAGCACACTTGCAGAGGCCTCTGTCTATAACCCTTCATCATTTACACAGATGGACTAACAAGTGAGTATGCAGTGACATTTTATGAGTCTACTGATTCAGTGTTATCTTATTCTGAAGAGGCAGACATTGTATCTTTTTTTCTTTTTTTTTTTTTTTGAGACAAGTCTTGCTCTGTCGCCCAGGCTGGAGTGCAGTGGTGCAATCTCGGCTCACTGCAGCTTCCGCCTCCCAAAGTGCTGGGATTGTAGGCATGAGTCACCATGCCCAGCTGCAGGTAGACACTCTATCTTGCTCATAAGAAATAGGCCGGGCGCAGTGGCTCAAGCCTGTAATCCCAGCACTTTGGGAGGCCGAGACGGGCGGATCACGAGGTCAGGAGATCGAGACCATCCTGGCCAACACGGTGAAAACCCATCTCTACTAAAAAATACAAAAAACTAGCCAGGCGAGGTGGCGGGCGCCTGTAGTCCCAGCTACTCGGGAGGCTGAGGCAGGAGAATGGCGTGATCCCGGGAGACGGAGCTTGCAGTGAGCTGAGATCAGGCCACTGCACTCCAGCCTGGGCGACAGAGCAAGACTCCGTCTCAAAAAAAAAAAAAAAAAAGAAATCTGACTTAAGGAATGTTAATGAAGTTGTTGTTTATAACCCGAGGCTTTGAACTTAAGGGAAGCTAAGACAGGCTTCCAACACTTGCAAGAAGATGTACAAATATGATGCTGGTCCATGGCCGGACACTGGACATACCCAGAAAGAAGGTAGAGTAGAATTAAATTCTATTTGCAGTAGGCATGGAATCCAGTAAGGAAAAAATCCTGATTTCTTATGCTTTCCACGGGTAACATAATAATAAGTGTTATTATTACTATTAATATTATTATAATGTTATTAATATTGTTATTATATTCATATTATTATATGAATCAATAGGTGGGAGGTTCCGGACTTGAGTAAGGACAACTCAGCATCTCACTAGGAAAGTAAAATACTACACAGGAGCTCACATTCCCAGGAGCCACGCACTGTAAGCCACAGATTGTGTCATCACCTCAATCACTCCCTTTCCACTGCTTAAAAATCAGTGCCATAGAGAATTTTTTTTTACCATAGATATTTTCTGTGTTTTTTATTTTGTAACAGTAATCAAAGACAGACTGAAATCAGCTTACCTACTATCTTTTTCCAAACAATGGCTTTAAAGGAAGCTGGCACCAAATCAACATACCCTTATTAAATGTATACATATGTATATACACACATACAAAGTTGCATGTCCTTAAATGTACACAGCCACTAACTCCAAAAAGATTAAACACCTTATTGGAGAATGATCTACCTGTATCTTTTAATCCAACCTGTTTATACAGAAGAAAACTGAGCATACCCCAGTATTCATTTCCAGAGGAGGTTCCTCCTTTTCATACGGGGTGGAGATGGCTGTGATCGTCAGAGTGACAGACGGAACGAGTCCTGGGGGTGGTTCGTCTGTAATTGGCTCTGTCTTGATGGTTGTTGAAGGGAAGTCTGTAGACAGGTACCATTTCTCACTTTCCACCTCATCTGCAGGAAAAAGACAAGCACACATGTGAACTTGTTCAGGGCATCAGGCATAAGCAAAACAAACAACCACTGGTTTTTCTCCCCAAAAAAGCTCAGTGAAGGATTACTGAGAGTGGAATAAAAGAAAATGAAGTATGTGAGAGAAAAGATCGATAGATGTAAACAGTAAAGTAAGAATCGATACTTGTATTCACTTGCATGTGAGTGTGCCTAAAGAAACTCTGGAAGGAATCCATAGAAAAGAGAAACTGCGTTTCTCAGGAAGAAGCCTGGGTTGATGGGGAATAGAATAGGAGGGAGGATTTTGAATATGTAATGAGCTACTCTTTTTGGTTGTCAAATCATGTAAATGTGTTATCTAATCAAAAACAGATAAATAAGCAAATTTAAAAACATTAAAGAAAGAAGCAGCTGGGCACAGTGGCTCACACAAATAATCCCAGCACTTTGGGAAGCCAAGGCAAGAGAATTGCTTGAGCCCATGAGTTCAACACCAGCCTGGGCTACAATGCAAGACCCTGTCTCTACAAAAAAAAAAATTTTTTTTAATTAGCTAGGTGCAGGGGTGAGCATCTGTGGTCCCAGCTACTTGGGAAGCTGAGGCAGGAGGATTGCTTAAGCCAGGAAGGCCAGGCTTCAGTGAGCCGTGATCACGTCAGTGTACTCCAGAGCCTGGGCAACAGAGTGAGACCCTGTCAAGAAAGAGAGAGAGGAAAAGGGAAGGGAGAGGGAGGGAGAGGGAGAGAGAGAGGGGGGGAGGGAAAAAGAGTGAGGGTGAGAGTGAGAGCAAGCCAGTGAGTGAGAGAGAGAGAGAGAAGCAAGCAAATGGTTGGCAACCAAGGGGAGACGATGGGAGAGCATGGTGAGTAGGTCTCTCTCTCCTTCTGCCCAAAGGGAAGATATTTGGTTTTTTTCATATTTTTTCTTCTCACTCCATTTTTTTTGTTTGTTTTTGTTCCCTTCTGTTTTCACTGTGATCCCACCTAGGCCTTAAACCTTAACTTAGACTTCCAGAGACTTTGCTCAGCCCTTTGGGAGACTTTGGTTTGCAATAACCATCTGCCCTTTGCTGAAATGGACTAAATACTCTTCCAGAGAAAACAGCTGCATCTTGGTGAGTCTGGGTCTTGTCTGGTCTTTCCTGATCATCACCAGGCCTGGAGATAGCTAACAACCGAGAGACAAGACTAGAGAACAGACAGAGTGCCTCCGCCACTTAATGCACACTCTTCTCAGAGTCTAAGAGGTACCCTGTATTTCTTAACAAATTACTTTGGGGCTAGCGCCTCAGCACTGCCTGGAAAAGCAGGGAGGAGGGAAGGAAAGGGAAAGACGAGAGGGTTGGAAACAGCCACAGAACAAGACAAAGCAAGCTAAAGGCCACATTCCTTAGCTGATACCAGTTTTACTAAAATGAGGCTAAAATTAAGCAAAGACATGCTCCTTTACCAAAATGCTTAAACACATACACCACATTTCACATACTTAGTGACCCATGACTGTTAGGAGAGCCAAGTCGTTCACATTATAAATTTATTTTACATTTAAGAATGTGACTCCAGTTTTCTTATGAAACGGTACAATCATTCAGAACCGCTAGCAGGAAGGGAAGGGTAGATGCAGAAACTAAGAACTAAAATCTAAGATTATTAAACTTGTGTTTCATAAGCAACTTCCTTCAAGTGCAAAAACAGGTTCATATTTGAGGAAAATTATTTCCCCCCTAAATCCAGCTTATAATTGATAAATTATCCCAGCCTCAATTTATTTCCCGAGGTGAAATAAAGACGGGATGGGCAGGCCTTCTGGTGGAGGATGACGTTTTGCTTTTAGAGTGGCGCTGCTGAGTGCTATGGTGTGACGGGGATTTCCATCCTTCATGGGGTGTGGGCCATATCGTGGTGGAAGGGGAGGGAGGGGGAACAAAGGGCCTTCTGATGGCGGCCAGAGGAGGGAGACCACTCTGTACCAGACTCAGACCGTGCCCCAGCTCAGCCCAGAGAAGAAGCAACTGGACCACCAGCCAAAAGATTCTGTTGACTCTCCCGAAAGGAGTTTAGGAGCTGGAAGACACTGTCTGCTGCAAAGAACACCCACTTAGGACAGTCAGAGAAGGGTTGGGGAGCCAGAGACATCAGAGATTTCATTTTTCCATTCAGCAATGACATGGTGATGCTTTTGCTTTTTTTGTTTTGTTTTGTTTTGAGACATTCTTGCTCTGTCACCCAGGCTGGAGTGCAGTGGCGCCATCTTGGCTCGCTTCAAGCTCCGCCTCCCAGATTCAGGAGATTCTCCTGCCTCAGCCTCCTGAATAGCTGGAATTACAGGTGTGCACCACGACACCCAGCTAATTTTTGTATTTTTAGTAGAGATGGGATTTTGCCATGTTGGTCAGGCTGGTCTTGAACTCCTGACCTCAGGTGATCGGCCTCCCAAAGTGCTGGGATTACAGGTGTCAGCCACCCTGCATAGCCATGCTTTTGCTTTTTGAAGTCAACACTTAAAGCCTGCCCACATTGAGCAATATTTATCCCTGGCAGAGGCTGGAAGAAAGACGGTAAGATGAAATATAGCCTCAGTACAGGCTGAAATGGATGGTAAGGAAGCAACCCTGAGAAAAAGGTCGCACACAATTACCAGGAAATTGTGAGATAAGCCCAGGTCCCTTGACTGTGCAGTGAAGGCGACTGTGATGAAACTTAATTCACAAGGCAAACAAAAGAAGAGGCAAAAGTTTAAAAAAAAAAAAAAAAAAGAATACAAAAAATTATAAGACAAAATGAAGATGGTTGATAGAATCAGTTCTTCCAATCTAGCGAAGCCATTCTCAAAGCATGCACATTCATAAAACAAGTCAAGACCATTTATATTCTTAATGCCCAGTGTCCTATAGCCTTCCTTACAAATGTGCAAATATCATCAGTGTTGCCTCAGGGAATGGAAACCGCAGGGCAAGTGATGGTACCTGAACTGTAAAAGGAAACTTTCTCTCTCAAGGACAACTACATTTCCAAGAGAGAAGCCCAATGCAGTGGCCTTTTCTCCCCTGAGCTTGTTTGAGGACAAACAACTGGCGCTGCTTTCGTGCTCCCACTCCAATATAGCAATTTAGTCCTTGAGTTATAGAGAGATTTAAGGCCATCGAGCTCAAATATATATATATTTTTTTTTTTTAGACAGAGTCTTGATGTGTCACGCAGGCTGCAGTGCAGTGGCGCGATCTCAGCTCACTGCAATCTCTGCCTCCTAGGTTCAAGCAGTTCTCCTGCCTCAGCCTCCCAAGTAGCTGAGATTACAGGTGTGTGCCACCATGCCTGGCTAATTTTTGTATTTTTTGTATTTTTAGTAGAGATGGGGTTTCACCACGTTGGCTAGGCTGGTCTCGAAATCCTGACCTCAGGTGACCCACCCGCCTCAGCCTCCCAAAGTGCTGGGATTACAGGTATGAACCACCACGTCCAGCCTATCATTTCTAGATGAGGAAAATGACAACTGGGCCTAGGTCACATGGCAAATTAGTGGCAGAACCCAGATCTCTGCACTCTGGCCAGTAATCTTCCCATTAACCCGAAAACTTTCTATGTGGATAAAGATTATGCATAAATAATGCTCACTGCGGCATTGTGTATAATGCCAAAAACTGAAAATAACCAAAACATTAAAAAGCAAGAGAAAAGTTAAGTCAATTATGGTGCATCCATATAATGGAATATTTACGCAGACATTAATATTACATGTATACAGCCTTTTTAATTACAAAGGAAAGACATAATAAAATATTAAGACAAAAACTCTCTATATAAATTTATATACTATTAAAGAAGAAAGTGACAGAGAAGAATCAAAAGAAATATGTCAAATAGTAAGCATCTCTGGATAATCGTTCAGAACATGCATGACTTTTTCTTTAAATTTTATAGTACTTCTGGATTTCCAATCTTGGGACACTATTGTCTTTGGATGAACACACAGGGACATGGCCTGCTCTACTTCATGGCTTAGGATGGTAATTATTGGATAGAGGCTCCAATTGCCCAAGGGGCCATTTAGAAGCCCTTGACTCAGTAAGAGTCAATGAGTCCCTTATTATGTAAACACGTTGCATTCCTGGCTCCAGGTCTTCCTCCTCCCTCCTTCCAGGTCTTTTGTCTTAGAATTTTGCAGTGCCCTCCTACCATGGGCTGATCCCCACCTACAGCTTGGTTCTGTGGTTTGATGTACCAATAGTATGTGAGCTTTTTAATACAAGCAGAGTTTTGGAATGTGCTTGCAGGATGGAACTAAGGTTGCTGCAGTTTTGCCATCAGCATGAGAAGAATGAGCTGGGATAATCTAGTTATCTCAGGAGAAAGATGACAGCCACGGAGAACAGTCACCCCCAGAGGAGCTGAGCCAAGGCTAGCCAACTGTCAGCTGACCTCAGAGATGCCAGTGAATCTAGCTGAAACTCGCAGAACAACTCTGCTGACCCCCACGCAGAAACAGACACGTGGATTACCATAATAAATGACTGAGTGACTGCGTTTGGGGGTGGTTTGTTATGCCGCAACAGAGCTGGCCGATACAATATAGCCGAATGTATGAAAAATAAATGAAACCCATTACATTAGAATCTATTACAATAAAATTACTACATTCATTTCCAAAATAATTCCTCTGAACCATCAACTATGGATCATATCAATAAATATTTGTAGACTGGCTGATCGGACCTACTAGTTACATCATAAAATATGAAATGACTTCATATGAAGAAAGTCAGCCAGTAAGTAGTTTGGTGAGAACAGCATTCCAGTGGTAGCTGAAATGAAAGAAAAGAGCTTTTATTCTGAACTACTGGAGGTTGGCTTGTACTTTCTTACTCAATGGAAATAAATACCAAATCACAGAAAACAAAATGACAAATGTAATCTATGAAGTGAGGGTTAAGGAAGGACAGAGTCTAGGAGAAGGAGCAGAATATGTAACACAATGTTTCTCCATGACCTTATTTTTGTAGT